TGTGGTTATTCCAGATACTCAATAGAAGAGTTGCCACCTAGACTCAAAGAGATTGCACAAGAGGTCAGTCTGAATTCCTGCATGCTACGACTACAGAAGATTTTCATCGGTTTGATCCCACTTTTTCAGGAATATGAACGGTTCCTAGAGTCAGAGTCACGTCTTCCGAAAGATGCCGTTGTAACACATCATCTTGGGAAGTGCATAGGTACGTTATTTCCGGTTTTCTACGGAATGTCAATTTTGTTATTTTGTTCAATTTTGGCATTTCTTCACTCTGTTCACAATACTTCCACCTGAAACCTGTATAGTGGCAATTAGTCGGAGAGGCGAGGAGGGGCGTATGAGTCCGCCTCAGATTGTCTTTCTCTCCCAATAATGTCACTTGGTGATCGATTCAGGAAGAAAACAAGTGGTAAGAACACCGTAGTGCGCTTATTCCTTGCCTCTTGACACCTCCCCAACTGACTGCGAGGATAACAACAGCGGAAACTTTGGAAACGTGATTGTGGTGCTTTCAGAAGAATATGAAACGGCAGCATCCGGTTCCTTAGGTGTACGCACTGGTTTACACCTAGCGGTCCCTTGTCATGCTCGATTTAAAGATGTCGACGAAGCATTAGCATATTTGAGGTGAGAAGAACTTCTTAATACTTTTCACGGCACAAGAGCTAGTATGGGTGAGGGTACGGGCAGGGCACGTCGTACTCTGAGAATTCCTAGCGAGGGGAAGAGGTCCGAAAAATGTTTCCTGTTGTTTCCTTTTCCTGGTCTTCTTCCATTCTAAGGCTATCTCCCCCTCCCTCCCACCCCGCTCGACGCGAAATTATTGGAAAAAAATTGGGGAGTTCAGGAAAAGTGTCAGGATGTTGGGGAAATGCAGGAAAGTGGTAGATAGGTTGTTGGAAAGGGGGGGGGTATCGTATTAGAGGAAGAAGTTTTGAGGTGTGAGGGTCGCACTATGCAATATTTTTCCCCAGTGAGAGAACGTGCCCTGAGTACGATTACGTGGTCCCAGACTGACGAGTTTCTTGAAGCTCTGGATAGGTAGATCAGTCCCCTGGCGTGCCCAGATGAAATGGAATGAACGTCTCCGCGTTAAATAAAAATCGAGTTTTTGGGTATTTAATTTTTATGGAATTTTTCTGGTTCTGGACGCAAGTGTAGTTGAGGTAGGGCCATAAGTCCTTCTCTCATCTACACTAGCTCCAGAGCCATTCTTCTCAGGCATTTTGTCGCCGTTGTTCTCAGGCAACAAAGACTGGTGGAGAAATCTGGTTTTCTTCGGATTGCTTCTTTGAGCTGTACTACTTCGGGAACTAGTTTCTCTTCGCTGCCTATCTCTCTCTCATCTACTCAGCGGTTTCAATGGGAAGGCCTAGTGATCAGCTCCCATGCTATTCTATTTGCTAACTTCAGATTACAGGATGCCTCTAAATCCAACGATTACAACCCAGTTGCCATGAGGGCCATTTTTTCTACTTCATTTTTCACTATGGAGAGATTTTGTTTGTAATTAGACTGGGAGGGGAGAGGGGGGAGGGGTGGCGTTGCTACAGGATTTTTTAATTTCTCTCACAATTACCCTGACGTGATTGTGATTCCAGGGTGCATCACACTCATTACATTGATGCTCTTGGTGTTAAAGTTCCTATACAATGGGACACTCCGGCGGGAAAAGAGCTAGCTAACGCGTTCGTCCTCTCAGAAAACGTAAGTTTCACATCGCTATGGGGCCCCTTTGGGGCCCCTTTCTTCTCTTTGATCCCATTCTGTCATTTGCTTCCTGTTTCCGCTTTATTCAGGCTCTACGATTTATATTTCTACG